GCAGGGAAGAACTGAGGTCATCCTTCGCTGCTCTCACTAAAGATCTCAGAGCACAAAGGAAAGAAGCTTGAAAATACAAGATTTTGATTGTGGATTTTGTCATTTTATAAAATGCAAAACTAAACCATTAACAAACTATTTCTTCAAATTTTGTCAAATTATTTTCGTTTTTTTTTTTTCTTGGTTGACATCTGTGAATAAATGTGGCTCTGACAAAGACTGTTTATAACCATCATATGATGTTAATATGCAAATGTTGGAAAGTTGTTTAATCTAACATAACTTCAAGTAAACCAACATGTACAGCAGAAATCGACAGCCAAATATTGCCATGTCCATACCATGCTTAACAGTACTGATAATCTACTGTTGATTAATTTGTGATTAACTTCTGAACAGCTTTTTTCAGACAGCGCATGAACTGAGCTAACCAAAGATTATTTTCAACTTTCAATCATCCAAAGCTGCTTCAGTGGAGCTCCAAATGATCACAACAGGTCTGTTTTAATAGGCAGTTAAAACTTTAGAAACTTTATCTTGAATTATTATCTCATTTGACAGAAATTTCATTTCTTTCTGTGCGCTACAAAGATAAACTGAGATCTCACCGGGTGATATCATCGTCTCCTGCAATGGACCTGGGCAGCGGTGAGTATCTGGGGGTGGTCAGTGGGGCAGGGCTTACAGATTGGCTGCCACTCATGTAGGGGCTGATGTGGTTATCCTGGTGTGGGGAATATGCTGTGGGAACAAATACAGACATTTCTTTGTAGATAGATAGATAGATAACAAGAACAGTATATACAGGTCACTTAGGGGTCACTTAGAAATGTACTTTGTTTTAAAAACATTTTTTCTATGTACACAGTTTTTAAATGATGTACTTTGAAAAAACTACCGCAGAGCCAAGAAACGTCCTGAGAAATGACAGACAGCGTGATATATAGAATCTGTTAATATGGTAGATTCACAGCAGTGATAAATGACATGCTCTCTGTTAATATGCTCTGTTGGAGAAATGACAAGTGGCAGGAATCCAGAGAACCAAATTTACCCAGTCTGTTAATCGGACTGTTGTATAACAAAAAACACTGTCTGGGAGATGTGATCATTATAGAATATATTCTTAACGTTACCACATAGATGTGAAAGATCATTAAAACTGCTTTCATAAGAAACTGCTTTTATAAAACGAGTAAATCAAACTAGGTAATGTGCATTTCCAATCCAGTTAATCTATCATCCCAAACTGACTAAAGTGACGTCACATATTTAACAGAAAACTTCATAGATGTCAAATAATCGCTATCCTGAAACAGCTTTCTATAGTAGTCTTAATATTTACTTATTACTTATTATTATTTAATAAATAACTTACATATAAAAATATATGCAACTGTGATCTCACACTTCTGGCTTGCTTTTTTTAAATGCACCGTTTCTTTAACATACAGATAGCTCTTATAACTAGGTACCAAGCTTGCATCAGCTGATTTTCATTTAATATTAATATTCAACATATGACATAAAAGTTGCAAGCTAATCCTCATAACTTTGTTCTCATTGTTTCCCGTATGACCAGTTGACATGTATAAAGCTCTGTGCTGATCTAAGTCGAGTGATAACGATTGCTCCATTCTCCCCTCGGAGAGCTTTATTAGCTGATGTAATTTACTTTTTAAAGAGTCTACGTCTGTATCGTGTTGTTTTTCACCTGCTGATTCCGTTTTCTGAATATTTCTTGTTCTCAGCTGTCTTATAAAATATGATATGAACCTCAATGAGACTGCGTGATTAAAGAAAGACTATATCTGATTATATCTTAGCTGAGTATATCTGATGGCATGTAAAGGGAGGACATGCAGATGTTAATAATGGTTTTTGTAGGTACCTTTTTATTTTACGCGAAAGCTAATTTAACTCCATGTACCCGTTTACAGTTTACTTCACCTTCGCTTGACTTTTCTTTGTTTCCTTGATTGGTTGCTGGTCGAGTTTCATGATTCATGACAAGCTCTGAGTAAGAGTCACTGTTCAGGGCTTCAGTAAAAAGCAGCTCTCTCTATGTGTGGGAAGCAAAGAAATTTCAGCTTTCTTCCTTGCTGTTTTCTTTCTTTTTCTTTTCTTTTTTTTTGTTCAGCACCATCTGGCTCTAAAACGCCTCACCATCTTGGTGGCAACGATGTGTACAACAGTCAGCTGCACGCTGTCTGACTGCAAGTTGTTTTTGAACTTCTCAAGAATAGCGAGAGTCTACGCAGACGGATGAAACTGGGTTTCACAAATACATGTTGTGCAATTAAAATATAAAAAATTCAACGTTCAGAACGTAGAGCTCTTTTTGTGTACTCACAGTTAGTGACATCGGGCGGAGGGAAGTTGTCATTGATAAAAAGGGAGGTGTGTTTGGCCACACGCAGGTACACGACATCAGGAGTCGACTTTAGGGCGGCCACTGCCTCCTCGTGAGTTACCTCCTCCAAACAGGAACCATTTACCTGAACATAAATGACATAAACGGTATTATTTTCTACAGACATGCGCCACACATGATAAATATCCATCCATCCATCCATTCAGGTTCATGGGGATGGTACCCCTTTTAGGGTAACTTCTTTTTTAACAGTAATATGAAGTGCAACCTTCATATGCACTTTAGTGTGTATAATTAGATTTTTAAATCAAATTTGCACAAAAGAGAACAGAGTAAAAAAAAAAAGAGGAAGTGTTTTCTTACAGCAACAAGCTTGTCGCCTATTTGTAGACGTCCATCTTTGTGTGCTGCTCCTCCCTCAATGATTTTGGTCACATAGATGCTGTTGTCGCCAGGGACATGTTGGTTTCCAACTCCACCAGCTATACTAAATCCTAAACCTGGAAGAATAAGTCACTGGGTCACACGCTTGAATATTTTCTTAACATCTGATACTTTTTTTGTAAGTCATAACACTGTTTTTTTATGAAGTGTTCTGCTATAGTACCACAACAACAATAACTGCAATATATCTGTGCTGGACTAATTGTAGACTTGGCAGTCTGTTGCTATGCTAGCACAGTCTCACCTTTGGGGCCTTTGACTAGTTTGATATCCAGGATTCTCTCGGTGAGGCTCCTCCTGCGTCGTATACACAGTCTGACCAGACCACCTGCCTCCTTTAGAGCCTCCACGGCGCCGCTGTGGGTCACTTCTCTGACGTCCGTCTCATTCACCCGGACTATACAGTCATTCACCCTGCATGGCAACAATACATGAAGTAAAGAAGTGAACTGCCTTGGATGGGGGAGATGAACTGGGAGGAAAAACAAATGTTATGCTGCCAAGACCAAATTGGGAAAGGAGCTGCTGACAGTGAGTGGTCGCTTTCTTTTTGAGAATTAAAGCTAAACTAGACATACGTCCTGAAATGGGGAGATTGGAGTGGGTGAGTGAACACAATCAAATACCAGAAACTGAAAATAGACAGTTCTTGGTTCAATCAGACATCTCTTGTTCATTTTCAAAGATTGTCTAGAGCCACTGGCTTTACCAAGGTAGTTACCTTGGTATGGGTAAAGAGAAAAACTGCGAGGGATTCACATCCCTTTATTCTTTAGTATAATAACAAGCCGAAGCTCTCATAGTGAAGTCTGTTGTAAAGCTAGACAGCCAATTTACTGTGATTGGAGATGCTCTCCACACAGCAGCCTCTCACAATGTTAGCTGAGTTTGCTGGCAGCTGCTGAAAGCATTGCTGTCTAAGTTCAATAACGCCAGAACAATAATGTTACCTGCTCGATCAATGCCACACCAATAATTAGGTAAATCTGCTGCCACAGGTGTGACGCTACACACATGAACAGCATTGCTTCAGTTTGAATGTGAAAAAGGAGGATTATTAGAGGACTAGAAATACATTCTGCATGCCCAATTTCTGCAAACACTTGTGATAAATGTTCAGACTAAGATGGTCCAATTTCTAACTTTGAGGGCAGCAGCTGAGCTCGGGCATGTAGCACCCAAGAAGCGCTGCACCTGCACATAATGTAATCAAATAATTCTTGCTCACGTCTAATGAAAGCAACAGTGTCTGTGTTTGCACCTGAGTCGTCCATTCTGGGCTGCAGCTCCTCCAGGTATAATCTTGGTGATGAAGATCGAGGGGTCATCTCCAATGTGGGGGTTGTCGGTCCCTCCAGCGATACTGAAGCCGAGGCCTGAGTTACCCTACGCATAGACACAGATACACAGAGTGTTTTAAAGATTAAAGATTACTGTGCACCGTGATATTAACTGATTAATGTTAGTCTGGGCAGGCCATAAAGTCGAGCTCAGCTGCTTTTCAGATCAAGTGATCTTAAAGTCAACAGACATCAGCTGACGGCTTAGCCCTTCCCTACATCCAACTGGCAAACCTCATACAGAATTTGAGTTGATTCAGTGAGCCCACAGTTTCTTGGTTCATGTCAGATTTGTAGACATTATGCCTGCTCTGCTCTGTTCAGCATCATGTAATCCAACACAGAAGACAGAAAACCAACTGGTCCAGTTGCTGTGGCCAAGGTTTTATAGCAGACTAAGGATGGACCACAATGTACGTGCCACGGTCCTGTGTCGTGACCCAGTGTTCTGTGTTATTATTAATCTTTGATTTCATCATGGTTTCTCATTACTAGTCTTTTTGGTTTATGGTTCTGTATTTCTAGCTCTAGTTCTTCTTTGTTTTTTGATCTCCAGTTTTTCTGTGCCCTTCATATTTAGTGTAGGTTTAGTTCTGTCTTTGTGTTTATTTTCTTGTTCCCCAGTCAGTCGTGTCTCATGTCGCAGTTTGTTACTCCTGTCCCTGTGCTCCGTGTTCCCTCTGTTCAGTGGCAAGTCCGTGCCTCTGTGCCTGTCGTGTGTTTCCTGTTTTATCTTGATAGTCCCTGTCCCTGTGTGGTTTTTTTTCCCTTGTCTCGTTGGGTCTGATTTGTCCCAGCTGTGTTCCCCACCTGCTCGTCCTAGTCCTGTGTTTCTCTCTATTAGTTGTTGCATTGTACCCTCACTATGCTGTGCGTTTTTTCGCTGTGCTCCTTGTAGTTTTCTAGCTCTGTTTCCCAGTGTTAGTGTTTTGATTTTGGTTCGTATTTCTAGTTCCTCATTTTTGGTTTTGTTTTCTGTTTGTTTGAAGAATCACTTACATCCAAAATAAAGCTGCCTCTTTTAGTTGATCCTTGCATTTATGAGTCCTGCATTTGGGTCCTGCCTGCCACACAGCAAACCATGACAATATGTGACCTATCCCAACTAGATTCTACTATTCTAATTACCTCAAGCAAGCTTAATCCCTGTATCATCATACATTTACCACAGAAAGAGGTGAAGCTGAACTCTCTTTGGCATACAGGTTATATGTACTGGTGCTCTTCAACACAGTGCAGCCTCCTTTTCTTTTACAAGGAGTTGTTCAACCAGATGAAGTGGTGCAGCAATGAGTCGTGTAACTTAATGTCAAATATAAAAAGAAAAAAGGCGAAAGTTAAGCTGGTAAGAATGTACAAACAGAAAAACATTCATTCTAAGCCACAAAGGGCTAATCAAGTCGAGTGTGGTTGTTCATGAATGAATCACTGTTTGCATTTTCTGGCTCAGAGTCCATGAAGAGGGAAAAAGTATAATGTTATTTTACAGAGCAGTCACTGAAGCGATTTGAACACAGGTTTAGTAAGTTCAGATCTCTGACGCCAGGAATCACCAAGGTAACAGGTAACAGGTAAATTAAAAGCAAGAGCCTTCATTTTAATTCACGCTGATGTTAAATATTAAAAAAAGTAACGTCTGCTTAGGATTTCATATTTGTAAAGATCAAACTTCTTCAAGTCAAGACGCTCAGAGACGAGCTGCAAAAATGATAAAATGTTATAAGGAAATGAAACGGTGTGTCAGTCAGCTCTCTTTCTGGAAGAGAGAACCCAGACAATCTGAAACAAACTCTTTTCACTAAACTTGCTTTCTGGAAGAGCGCCCAGGCAGAAGGTACAGTGCAGATAGCCAAAATATTTGTTCATATGAAAAGATTCCCTCTGATCGGGCTTTGGTTGAATGCTTTTAAAAAAACATGCAACAAAACTGTGCGGAAGCAAAAGAGCAGCTGCACGGAAGGTCTAAAACATGATCGGATAAACCAACAACAATTAATTTTCTTATTGGCTTTTTAAAATTTATATGCATTTATAGGCAATAACCGGGCTAATGAAAACAGAAAATCGATTCATATATCTGCTGAACACACAAAAAGATTGACTTCTGCAATTTCTGCATTTGCCCCAAGAGGCTATGTCAGCAGACTAGATGATGGGTTCTCAGTCTGCCAAACTGTAAGCTGGACAGGGGTTACTGTAAATTTACCTTAGTTCCACTTCAAAGAAGAATAAGAGATTAAGTGTAGGGATATGTGTGTCTCCTAAAGAAGACATTAAAGCATAATTTTTTCTGTTAATGGATCATTTTCTCTTTCCAAAGTAATTTGCAGTGGAAAAAGTCAACATGTAAAAGAGATACAGATGTTTCCAGATATCGCCAGCTGGCATATAGTAGATCACTGGCATGGTGCTTTCTCACTTGCACTCTGTCACTGGATTCAAGGCTAGTATAATGGCTAAGTATAATGTCTACGCCTGTGTTTGCGTGTACGTCCATGGCGTCTTTAAAGCAGATCCAGTCAAGCAGACAGAACCAGGTCACAGGAGAATAGGGCGAGAGAGAGGGAGGTGCAGAGACTGCCTTAGGCATGAGAGAAAGGGGCATGTAATGAGAATGAAGGAGGAAGGGGCCAGGCATGGAAAGGGAAGAAGGATGGAAAAGAAAGAGAGGACAGGGAAAGAGGGCCAACAGAATCAGACCAATGATCAGGCTAAGTTAAGGAAAAGCAGAATGACGAGCTGAAGTAGAGGAAAATAACCGGGGACAAAGGCAGCTAACACAGGGATGGGTTTTCTGACTTAAATCATTGTGTTTTCTCAGCCTTATTAAGGATTTAGATTTTTTTAGAGTCAAAAAACTAGTTAATTTTGTGACATATTTAGTTTGTTAAGAAAAAGAACAGACAAAAAACTTTGAATCTTTATCAGGTTTTAAGGCTGAACTATTATAATTTTTTCATTTTAGTTTTTGCCGTGTTGTGACTACTGTACGTCGAGCTGAGTACATGCAGAGTTTATGTGATGGCCACACATGGTGATGGTGTGTTGTATGTTTTTACCCGCTCCAATGTGATTTCCTCATACTCATAGTCTGCTTCTGTTCCATTGACCTGTTTGAAAGATAAAAAAAGAGAGAGATGAAAATGAACAGTGAGAGTAAACTCTTTCTTTAATCCACATTTGCTTTTCCTTATTTTCTGTCACTGTTACAGGGCTGGATGTTTATATTAAACATGGCCAATGTTTCAAAACATAAAAACTCTGCAAGCCAAAAAATCAATCAATCAATCAATTAAATAAGCTCAGGATTCAGACTGCTTCAGTTTTTTTCAGGTCAGGCATTCAAATGTTACTGAAAGATTAATGTTTGCAAAGAAAGAAAGTTGTGATACAAAATATGTCATGAAGTTATTGTACAAATCTGGGCTTTACACTCATCTTTGCAGTAGTTACCCTTTAGATGTTAAGAAGAACAGAGCATCTTTGGTGAGACCGCCTACACTTTTACATCACAAGTTAAATGTCACATAGACCACAACTTTTTAAATGTTTTTTTTTAAAAAAAACCTCAATCTTAGTCATGTAAAATGTTCTTGAGGTGAAAGTAAAATATGAGGTAAAATTTGTTCACATAAAAGAGAAACTACATTTTGTGTAGTTAGAAGTCACCAGAGATTAAACGTAAAACCCTGTCTTAGTGCAGCAGACACTGAAGCACACCAAAGTAAGCTGCTATCTCTGAACATTAGTAGGAGCTTGACAACGTTTGTTTACTTCTAACTAAAAATGTGACTTGATTATCTGATCACTAACACACTGCCTATTGTAGGTACGACAGACTGCAACAAGTATGTGAACAAAAGAAATGAGAATTTAGAAATTTGATTATTTATGACTGATGCATGAATCCCGCAGATTAGATCCGTAATGCGATGATGCGTCTATGATGTCATATTTAAGAGCATCCCTGATGGCTTGCCCGTGGGCCAATCACATGGCTCAGCTTGGACCGTCTGTACTATAAATCACATTAACATCCACGTTTTAAGACTGAATGTAAAGAGCACAGAATTAAATCTGATCTCAATATATTTTGAGTCCGGCTCAGTTGAAACTAGGAGATACAGCTGCTGCGGGCGAGATGACACGCACACACACATAGTTGATAAACACGTAAACACAGTGGTCGAGCGGCATCCCAGTGGCCCATGTAATCCCCTTGGCTGTAATCTGTGCCTCTGTGCGCTCAGATTAGTTTAGATTGTGAATTTCTGTCGTTTCAAACAGAGGGCACGATCATCCATCAGCCACCATGTACGCTGTGACTACTAATATCTGACACTATTCACATAGTGGTGAGTGCTGCCTGATTATATGGAATTGAACTTACTATGAGCATGACAAAAAACTTAGATTCCTTTGAAACCCTTTAAAATTATTGGATTATTTACTGTGAAGCACAACCATCATTGCAAGTGTCAATATCATAGCATCACAGCATGTGTATTATAACATAGCAATGCACCTGGTGCATTTTTGGCTCCAGAATACCCTGGTCTCTAAAGGTGTCAGAAAAGTTAGTCCTTACTGGAGAAAAGCATCCATAAATGATATCAGCGAACTAATAAGTGAAACCTGCAAGCGCACAAATCTTTCACTGCCTGTGTTTAATTTCAGTTTTAGTTCAGCAGGGACTAATTCCACAGTAATTACATAATAAACTTATCTAACAACCACAGATACTGATTTTCTGTGGCAGCTGGTAAAACGACATCTGTATTCATGTAATTCTAAAGTGAGATTTCAACCTAAAACTCCGTGCACGTTAATTGTTTCTAAAATATTCAAATTACTGCACATGTGAAGCACATTTCTTGGCAAGAAAAAAAACACTAAATTAATGGACTAAAGACAATGATTCAATGTAAAGTTTTTATATTCAACCTTACTATTTAAAAAATATAATTATAGTCTAGCCTTATATCTGAAGCCGTACTCACATATGGGGGGGTGTCGACGCTGTCGGTGTTGACCACCACTGGAGGGGGGTTGGCCTGAAAGAGAGAATGTCGGTGTTATTATTAATTACTTTTAATATCAAAGCACTCTTGCTGAGAACAAAGAGAAACACACAGAGAGCAGCAATAAGCACTTACTCGTCTCATGTTTTGGTACAGCATTTCGAGTACATCTGCTACAGATTACCACCCTGGAGCGACGGCATACACTGCATGACATACTGCACAGCCCTTATACTGGGCAGTACTACAGTACTACACGGCAAACCACGCTATAGGACAACTTACTAAAGCTCTGCCACTGTGCCATAAAGTGTCTCAACAAAAATTCAGAACTGGACCACAAAACACTCGATACATTTTAGACGTTTTTTCTAATAGTAAAATAGTACAACATTGTACACTGCTGCACAGTACTTTACACCACCATCCTATTGTAGGTCATCCATATTTAATCTCTTAAATTAAGTCAACTTCCCAGATCCATCTGCTTTGTATAAATCCACCGACCGCAATCTCCCCTTCACTCCCATGCGCGCTCTGCACTCTACAACAAGTGTTTATTCCTTTCTTCTGCACCCAAAATCAGCCTCCTCTTTCTTCCCGGTCTCCTTCTAAAGAAGAGGCTTGGACCGATCTGTGCTAGGGTTGTGGCAGCTGCAGATGACTGACACTGGTTTCCATTTCCTATTTTCTAATCACATGCAAAGCAAAAGGCAGGAAACTCACTAATACCTACAGGATGTCGTTTTTGTCATTTTGCAAGAACATGAACACCTTTTTTTTTTCCATTTCCAACCTACTGACTCCTGTTCCCTCGTCTCCTCTCACTTTCTCTCCAGAGAGTATCTAGTGCCCTGACGTCCACCTTTAGCACTGGCTCTAGACTTCTCAAACAGCCCAGCGATCAGCGTGCCAGTCCATTTAAGAACTCTGCTTCTTGTTCTGTCGCCAAAAAAAGTTGCCAAACTAACAAGTTAAACTAGCATCAAACAAGCAAGAGAACCAAACAGGCCACCATGACCATGAACATGCAGCAGAGCAGCAACAGCATCTATGTCTCTACTAATCTCTACCTCTCATCCACCCTGTCGCCTCCCCCCCACCCCCCACCCCCTCCTCTCTCACTGCCACATGTGGAACTGTCAGTCAAGCTGGCTGGATGCTTGATCCCACAAGGGAACAGAAGGGGGTAGTGTGGGGTGTGGAGGATTATAGGTATGGTGGGAGGAGTGAAATCCGCCTGCTGGTCAACAATATTGAGAAATGTAGAGTGGAGAAAAAAAAGGATACAGGATTTTTTTTAAAAAGAAAAAAATTAAATAAATAACAGCGTGAGAAGAAATTTGGAGTAAGGTTCAGAGAGACATAGATACAAGGAGGCTGGGACACAGCAGGTTAAGTCCTGCATAATGAGGCACTGAGGCCATGCTGACAGGTACAGCTGTTGTCATCAGGATGTATGAGGACCTGTATTTATGTCAGAGAAGAGGAAAATATCTGTATTAAATATTTTTGGACTGTTATTTGATTTAGGAGAACACTATTCAAATGTTAATGTATACCTAAAGCAAAAATAGGATCTCTCAAGTTTGCTGCTTTTCAAAGAGAGCTCAGACAGTTTTAAAAGCTTTAGAAAAAAACACTGCAGATCACTGCAACAAGGACACCAACCCTCTTTATCCTTTGCCACTAGAAAGCTCACATCAATCACATCAACATAAGGAAATTTAAGAAAAAAACTTAATGATTTCTGATCCCAAACAAATGCACACATTGAGACTACAACCTGTAACAAAGTAACCAGGGACCGATATTATAGGGGTGGCCTGGCTGAAGCTGTTATTTATCTAGGGGTGGCATTGAGTGGAATCAAATGCACTTGGTTCATTAGTCATTGGCATGTGTGACCACCTGTCATTTGGTTTTAGCATTTTGTTGGTCTGGGGGGGTTAACTGAATGCCTCTTTACAACTCTGCAGGCTTCAATTAGACTTTTAAATGTTAAAGCTCACGAGAGCACAATTAGAAAAAGACTGAACAAATATGAATTGTTTAAAAGGGTTTCCAGGAGAACGCCTTGTGTCGATAAACATGGCAGCATAGCTTAGGTTTACAAAGCTGCATCAGGACAAACCACAAAGATTTCTGGAACAATGTCCTCTGGAAAGACAGAACCAAAGTGGAGATGTTTGGCCACAATACACAGCCAAACACAGCATATCAGCACAAACACCTCATAGCTACAGCTAAGCATGGTGGTGGAAAACTAATGATTTTGGCTTGTTTTGCAGCCACAGGACCTTGGCATCATGCAGTCACTGAGTTGACCATGAACTCTATATACCAAAGTATTCTAGAGCGAAATGTGGAGCAATCTGTCCAACAGCTAAAGCTTGGCCAAAACTGGGTCATGCAACAGGACAATGATCCCAAACACAATCCCAAGCAGCAATTGTACAAGAAAATGGCTGAAAAAGGAAAGAGTGAAGGTGTTGCAATGGTCCAGCCAAAGTCCACACCTCAAACTGATTGAAATGCTGTAGCAGGAACTAAAGAGAGCTAGGCATAAATGAACGCCTGCAAACCTCAATGAACTGAAGCAACAATATAAAGAGTAGGCTAAAATTCCTGATTTAAAAACAATTACTTCAAGTTATCGCTTTTATGTAAGCCTCAACTGACAAAAATAATCTAGGAAAATCAATAAAGTTGTTGTTTTTTATATGTAAAAGCTCATATGATGATTATAATAAGGATAAGGATAGCTGCATTGTCAAAATGTGTCAGTGTGTGGGTATAATCGTGGCAGAAAAATCAATCAGTGAAAAAATTCTGCTAGAAAAACACACTCACTGAATGTAACTCCAGTTCTGAGTCTATGCACAGCCCCCCTGCGGGCTTTCCCATTGGCTGGGTGTGGTGGTCAGAGGGGTGGCCAGATTTTAGCCTGTGGACGACAGACTCTACACTCCTGACTTTCACCAGCCAAAACTTGTTTGTCACTGTAATTATCGTGTAGGCTTAACCTGTTAATACCAACAAAGATAACCAGTTAATTGTTTATTCTAATAGTCTTAGACAATGAAACACACTGACGGAGTCACCTCAGCTGACGCTACTGTATTAACACCTATTAACCACAGTATGGAATTTATTCCACTATGCATGCTAGTCCACCGCTTTGCCTAAACCTTATGTGACTCCCTCAGCAGAGGAAAAGCGTTGCACAGTGCAGACAAGCTCTGCGTATGTGTCTCTTTCTCTGTTTGTGCGCACCATTCACAAAGCGACAAATCCAGTCCGTCACTCAGCTGGTGATTCCATTGGCACGCCATGTCAGACTGCACCCTTATGTAACATCAATACATATTTGAATTTGTGTGTGTGTCTGAGTGTGTGAGGACAGAGTTGTGTTACATGAAAAGGCCAAAAGTACAAATGTGCAAATATAAACAAACAAGCACTCGGTGCACAAATACACAGGCACACAAAACATCCATATCCAGACAGTGTTTTGTTATCCTGTGCAAGTGATTGTCAGTCGTTACATAACAGGTGTTACACCAGCTGTGTTATCATGGCATTATGGTTGGTTGAGTCCAACACAGGACAGCTTAGAGAGAGATCCAGACTATCCCACGTTTGTCTTATCACACAGAGAGACATACAAGTGATTAGGTCCTGAAGGAGGTCTGCATATGTGTGTGTGTGTGTGTGCGCGAGTGTGTAGACTTGGGGAAATGATTTTCCATTAGTGTAGCGGGCTTTAATCAGCTTCTAAACCATCAACGTAATTATTAATTAGCAGATGACTCATGATTGGAGAAACAGAAATCAAGAATCCTATAGCAATCTAACACACACACAATCACATATGGAAGAACGCGCAAAACACATACAAAGGCCAAAGTGTTGCGTTTCTCTAAAACCAACTCACACTGGCTGTCCACAGAGGTGAACACGGACCCAAACATTCATACAATCATAACATCATCGCTCGGTCTGACTTCCTAACAAGCAATGAAAATCAGATAACTTAATCAGATGGAGCATGACTCCATCCACTCAGAACAACCACTCCAATCACACTAATCACACCATCGCTACCTTCTAACTCTGTGATCACCGTGTCCGCAATAACTATAGCAAGTAGAAGAGAGCTACACTGTTACATTCATTTCCTTTACTATTCTTCATCTCTGTAGAGTTTATATAATACGACACATTTCCTGTTACACATGGATGGCTATGCTCTTTTGATTGTATTACTGGGAATCGCTCTTGCACTGCGCCCATCATCGTTCAGTGCTGTCCCATTGACTGCAGGCTTTATTTTGAAACCTTTCATTTGCTCTAAATCTGTTTTCTCTGTATTTCTGAATTACTTCCAGTATCCCTCAGAGTAAAAGAGAGACAAGCTATGAATATATTACAATTCATTTGACAGCCCAGAGTGCAGTTTTGTGTGGAAAACATCAGCAAAGCACTCGAAGCTTCAAGATAATGGCAGCAATACTGTAGTGACCTTATGCTTCTAAATTGTCCATAACACTGTGGTCAGATATAAGTACAACACTTGGAGATTGCTTTTAGCAGCCAATGTATTTGTAGATCTCCCATCAGGAAAACAAGAATAATATTAAGGGCATTTGGAAGATTGGGTAAGTATTGGGTAACAAGAACACACCCTCAGATCGGCCTATTTATTTCATTAAGAATAGTCAAGTTGTTGATGACAGGACTGAAGTAGCAAACGAATTAAATTCCTTTTTTGTAAATGTTGGACCTACTTTAGCAAATTTAATTAGAAAAGATGACGACCCAGAATATGAGGAAGTCTAGAAAGGAGAAAGTAGAGTGGTTACTTCTATATTCTTAGCTGATATTACCATAAAAGAAATAGTAGCAATTGTAGAAAACTTTAAAAATAAAAAAATCTACTGACTGTGATGGTATAGACATGGTTATAATTAAAAAGACTTTAGACTGTATAAGTATTCCTCTTTGCTATATTTTTAATCTCTCGTTACAAT